AGATCTTGTTTTACCAATCTCATCTCCTACAACCAGGTCTCTCGCCACCTGGCCATGGGAGATGAGGTAGATGTTATACACCTAGACTTCCAAAAGGCTTTTGATCTAGTATCCCATGATATCTTTGTGGGAAAACTGGAAGATGTGGGCTCAGCTGCTCGATGGTTCAGTGAGTGGGAAACTGGCTACAGGGTAGGACCCAGAGAGTTCTCATGAATGGATCTGTGTCATCCTGGTGTGAAGTGGCCAGTGGTGTCCCTCAGGGGTCTGTGCTTGGACCGGTGCTTTTCAACATCTCTATCAATAATTTGGATGGGGGAGTGAAAAGCTCACTGGCCACGCTTGCAGACAACACCAAGTTATGGGGCAGTGTGGTCACGCCAGAACACAGGCTGCAGATACAGGCAGACCTGGACAGGCTCAAGAGTTGGGCAGACCAGAACCAAAAGAAGTTTAACACTTTCAAGTGTAAGGTGCTCCATCTGGGAGCAAATAATGCTCAACATACATACCAGCTCAGTGGTGACAGCTTGACTTGCACCATGGCTGAAAGGGACCTAGGGGCAATGATTGACCATCACATGAACATGAGCTGTCAGTGTGACGCAGTGGCCAGGAGGGCAAAAAAAAAAAAAATGCTGGCATGCATCAACCGATGCACCTTGTGTCAAACTACAGAAGTAATACTCCCACTGTATTCAGCACTGGTAAGACCACAGTCGAGTGTACTGCATTCAGTTCTGGGCATCGCACTTCAATAAGGATGTGAAAAAACTTGACAGGGTCCAGAGAAGAGCCACCTGTATGATCAGGGACTTGTAAGGCAAGCCATACAAGGAAAGGCTGATGGACCTGGGCCTCTTTAGCCTAAAGAGAAGGTTGAGAGGGGACTTGACAGTGGCTTACTGTGACATCAGAGGACTGCATCAGGAGCTTGTTGAACAACTGTTTATGAGGACACCCCTGGGGAAGACCAGGACCAATAATACAAACTCCTGGAAGGCTGCTTCAGGCTTATTACCAGGAAAAACTCCTTCATAGTCAGGGTGTCCAGACCATGGAGTAAACTCCCTCCAGAGGTGGGGGTGACCTTCCCTGGTGGTTTTCAAGAGGAAACTGGACAGTCACCTTGCTGGGGTCACTTGACCCCAGTTGTCTTCCTGACTAGAGCAGGGGGGCTGGACCCAATTATCTGAGAGTTCCCTTCCAGCCCCTAACAATCTATGAAACTTTAAGCCAGCAGGCTAAATATGTTATTTGCATGGCTAATTTATTTATTTATTTATTTATTTATTTATTTTTTTTATGGACTAATCCACATACAATACTTAAAACCTGATCACCACACACACAGCAGTGTTCTGAGAAGTTGACACTTATATCATATTCATTTAGCAGTCCATTCCAGCATTAGTACTCCAGCCTTATTTTGAATTCTAACGCAATCTATCGCCCAATAAATTCTTGTGTTAATATGAATATTAAGGTTAAAAAACCACAACATAATTTAAACATTTTACTGAAATATTTACATAGCTGCTTTCTGGTCAACTTCCCTCTAAATTTTGAGTGTTAATAAAAAATGATTTTACAACCTTGAAATGCTTCAGCCTCCTTTTCCTAGCAAGCTTCTCCCCTTCTCTCATTTTTTGTATGGTACCATTTCTGTGGTTTCTGAAGTTCCAAACAGCAGCAGTATGGCACGGGCCCATCAAAGCATACATATGGCAGCATGAGCATCATGCTGGTGGAAAGTGCCACACTAGCACAAGAATCACCTAGTGCTCACACACATTTGCATGAAGTAGAGGTGCATTGATACACTGATCCGATAATCAGATCAGCACTGATATAAGAAAATTGGCTGGATCAGAAATTAGCCTGATACAGCTGATAATTTGGCCAATAAATGCCCGTGCATGCGCACAACCACAGTGCAACATGCAGGCAGCAAGGAGCGCAGCCAGCAGCTTGAAGAGTTGTGTGCAACTGGTAAGTCTGTTGTGGTGGAAGGGGAGTGGGGAGGGAGGAGACGTGGGGGGGTGCAGATCAATACCCCCAGCAGTGAGGGAGGAAGTAGGGCAGAGATGGGGAGGCATATGCCCCCCAGATCTGTGAGGGGAGGGGCAGGGCAGGGCAGGCTGCAGCCGGGGCTGTGCTGGGCTCTTCTCCACAGGGGCTGGGCTTAAGGTGGATGGCAGCAGCAGAGCTGTTAGGGGGATTATGAGGGGGGCTGTAGCACCCCCAAATTTTGCCATAACCCCTTCAAACCCCTTCTCCCAGTACTGCCACCATCTGCCTGGCACAGCCCCAGCTCTTCCTGGCGCGTGGCTGGAGGCAGGGATTGAGCCCATAGCAACAGCCCATTACCTGCATGGAAGGTGGAAAATCAGAATCCCTTCTCCCTGATTCTGTAAGAAGCTACTCACAATGTGTAACCTGACCCTCTGAATGAGTTTAGAGTGGGACATGGGAAGACTGCTGCTTCAAGGTTTAGCCCTTTGATCTTACTGTTCTCATCTACCCTGGATAGATAGTATGGGTCTTTCTTGCTGGGTGAAAATGACCATGTTTCAGTTCCTACACCTTCCCGCAGCTGAATTCATCTAACCCTAGCAAATGAAGGGGTCAGGTGTGGATTAGTGTTTCTTCTGGTCCCAATCTTCTTGTCCTGGCTCCATGACATGATCTGAAATTAATTCCCATGTGGTATCACTCCTGTTATCCACTCCCTGTTTCCTTCTCTGCTCCATTAAAAAATGGGGGAGGAAGAAGTGAGGGGGCTTTGGTTACCCAGCCCGCCATACCCAACCACTAGAGCTCCAACCTAGAGATGAGACAATGGCAAAGATATGCAAAGAACTGCCCATACAGAACTAAAATCCTTTGTTTTGACTTCATGCAGGAGTCTGAAGAGAAAAGATGTCTTCCATTGTGCCATCATACCTTAAAGCAGATGTTTGAAAGTACCAGTGACATTAATTCCACTGATTTTCACAAAAGATGGGAGGAGTAGCAGCTGCAGCCAGGAACCCCATGGATCTTCACAAAAAGGAGCAAGGAAAAGGAGCAAGGAAAGAACCAAATGCTTTTTCATCCTTGCCACAAAATGACAAAGATGTAAGGGCTGAACAAGAGTACTTAACTTGACACAAGGAGAATATTTGGAGATGTTTCTCCTCCTCTCTGAACAAAATAACTCTCTAACTCATTCAGTTAAGAGTGGGGCTAGAACCAGTATTCAGCTTTTGGCGCACACAGTCCTTTCCAGCTAGCAAGTGTGGTACAACTACATAAAAAAGTTATAGCCACATAAATTTCATTCCTCAATTCAGATAAATTGCTCCTCAAAGCTAAACACAAACATTCAAAAAGCTACAGATAGAAGCACTCTAAGTATCACGGTTTACTCAAAGCACTCTGGTTGGGTCAGAAACAAACAGAACAGACTTTCACTGTTCAGTGGAAGGGGCTCAAAGCCTGCCTGCACTGGCTGAGGTCAGCAGGCTGGAGGCACTCCTGCACGCCTCCCAGGAGGCTACTGAAGACT